TGACAGTCTAAAGTATATTTTTGAGCGATCTGCATAGCCATATATATACTCAACAAAAAAAGAAAGGTTAACATGTTTCCTTGGCGAATACCTGTAAATGAGTAAAAACAAAATGACGTTTGTGCAATATTAGAAAATGGTAATGTTTTACATTACAAAATCCAAGGGGGTTACCAAAATCATTCAAGCGTGAAAGTCTGTATTAGCGAAAGAGCTGCACGAGGTTTTCTGCGACTAACTTGTATCTTCTCTTCAATTTCAAAAACATTCAAACTGATAACTGTTCCTTAGATTCTTAGGACTTAGAAATCACCGAATCTTGCTTTCTATCAACTTAAAATCATTATGCCCTGGCTGTCACAAGTACAGAGAAAAAGGGCTGTAGGCATGATCCAGACTGGGGAGTCTCGCCGTCGAGTTGCACGGCATTTTGGTTGCAGTGTTAAGACAATTTGCCAGTTGGTAAGTCGTTTAAACCAAACTGGGTCAACATCCGATCGTCCCCAAAGCGGCCGACCCCGTAAAACGACCGTTAGGGATGACCGTCGGATACGATTGATACACTTGCGCAATCGATTCGTAACCGCAGTAGAGACTACAAGGACATTGTTTGGGCGTCGTGTGTCTCCCTAAACAGTCCGCAACAGGCTGAGGGCCTACCAATTGAAAGCGCGGCGTCTCTACACTGGACCCAATTTGTTGTGACGTCACCGTAATAATCGGCGTAACTGGACCCGTGTTCACCGTCGTTGGGCCTTACGACAATGGAACAATGTTCTGTTTTCAGATGAGTCCAGGTTTTGTTTGCAACACGGTGACGAAAGGCACAGAGTGTGGAGGCGACGAAGGGAGCGTTTTGCGAACTGCTGCGTCGCAGAACGGGACCGCTTTGGCGGCGGAAGTGTAATGGTTTGGGGTGGTATTTGTGGGGGACTCGTATCAGGCTTGTTGTCTTAAATGGCAATTTAACCGGTATTCGATATCGGGACGAAATTTTAAGACCAGTGGTTCTGCCATTCTTAAGTCGCCATGGCGTTGGCGCCATTTTTCAACAGGATAACGCACCAGCGCACACCAGTCGCGTCAGCAGAACTTTCTTGCAGCAGACTAACGTACAGGTGTTAGATTGGCCATCTAAGTCACCTGATTTGTCACCGATTGAGCATGTCTGGGATGGTGTTACCTTTGAAATTGACCCCAACGTCCTTTACAGTCGAATAAAATCAACTGAACGCAAAGTTTTATAATGAATCATGACTGCAGTTTTATCAGAATTGATCAATTACTTTATTCGTACATGATTGGTAAGGATTTATGAAGGGGTTAATTAATTAATCACAGAATAAAGTATATTGAAGATGAGTATCACTTTATTTTAAAATGCGAACATTATAAAGATATAAGGAAACGTTTTATTAAAGAATATTACTATATGAACCAAGTATAGCAAAATTTATACAACTTTTGGAAACAGAAAATACTAAAGATCTGTCGAATTTAGGAAAATTTATGTATTAGTAACAATAGGAGAATAAATACTGTTTAAGACATTAATTTAATTTATATGTGTAGAGTTCGATATATGGACTTATTCACTACACTTTGATCCTGTGTACGTGGTCTGTGAGTGCTGTGTGCTATGTATTTCCTATGTTTGTTGTTGTGTTTGCACTTGCACTGTAAATATGTGCACTGTACCGATAAACCGTAAGGTTTAAAGTAAATAAACTGATGAACTGATGAACTGACTCAGGTTTGACCCCTCTACCCTTAATCATCTTATGTAATTGACTGGTTAGCCAGGTGTAATGAACAACTTCACAGCTAACATAACAACTATCATCATAGTTTTACTATCACCTTAGATATATGCATACATGCATTGTTAATATAACTTCTCTTAAGGGTATCAAAATACTATAGGGGGGATCATTTTCTGATGGCCAGAAAAATGATCCGGATCCTTTTCAATTGGGGGATCCAAATATCATATGACACCGGTACTCACTGGGACCAGCGCTGACTGGGACCGGTACTAACTGGGCCCGGCGCTGATTGGAACCGGTACTAACTGGGCCCGGCGCTGATTGGAACCGTAACGGTCGATAACTCGTGAGGACTTGTACAATGCTATGAATAATACATGTATGTAACTGGTGCAAACTTATGAACTTTATGACATTTCAACGTACTGATACAGAGAGTAACGCTTTTCTCAGGAAATAGTTATGAGATAGCTCGTTGTTTATCGTAATACACACACTCTCTACGGAGACGGTCCCACTCAACGCCAGCCAATACCAGGCAATCTAGCGTCTTAAATTTTCCGGTAATTTCATTCTACTTAAACAGAGACATGTGTACTTATCTTTGACCAAATGATACTAATTATGAGATAGAAACCGAAAGCTTTCCTTTGTCGTATTTCCTAATAAACACACCCTCTACGAAAATGGTCCGTTAGCGCCAGTAAATATCAGGAAATCTTACGTCTTATATTTTCCGGAAATTTCACAGAAAGTTCATGCCTGTGCTATCAAAAATAAATTTAACATAATCCTTTAGCTTACATAGTAATCTATACACTTTACTAGATAACTAGTTCCCATCAGTAGCTAACGTATACCAAAACAGTTCTAATATTAACTTCCTTTACAACGGGAAATCTCCCAAGCTCACCAAATACCATAAAAGTTGCAGTGCACAAGAACCACCATTCTCTGTTGCATGATTTAGGAGTTGTTGCCCTTTACATTTTTCATGCTTAAATTTTGTCCGGAGCATTACTCTAAAACTATAAGAGTTATGAACACGAAACTTCCTAGTTAGATAGGTTTCAACGAGAAGGAGGACAGTGCACAAGAATCAGAACTCTCTAATTGCTCCTTGTTACATTTCATACTTAAAATTTTGTCCAAATTGGGGACCATAACCCGTCCCTGACGGCCCTCGTTTAAGTTAGTTTGGATTTAAGTTTTATGATACTGAGATACATATATTGCTCTCTGGATCATAGATATTACATGATTACGTTGTATTTTTATATTGTTCAAGGTCACCTTAACGTTAAAGTTCACCTCTAATCCTGTTATGAACTGATACGAATAAAAACTATACACCGTGATCTACACATTGTAAGACTGTCAGCCGTTAAATATCTCTCCGTACAAAGTTTTGTTATATCATTTTTAATATATTAAACTGGATTAACAGAAAATATATAAATTGAGCGACGTGTTTTTGGATATTTTCTGTATTTTATCAAATAGAAAAATCATAAAAAAAATCTACGTAACTTGTCACACGCAATCGATATAATCATATATGATACATAATTATATATTAATCGCTCTGGCAAGGCCCATTTTTAGGACATCTAACAAAATAAACCACTTCATTTCCACTTAAGATTTATTTCAGTTGATCACAAACTAAATTCACTTAATTTTGATTAAATACCATGAAATACAAAGAAAATATATTCAGTTACCTTTCCTGATCTTGAGTGGCCCTGGCCAGGACTGTCTCAGCCAACATTGAAAGGCTGTGTTCTTTAAGAAATATATACATATAATTAAGCATTTAACTTCGATTTCAAAATTGTGATATCAGTTAGTTACTCACTTAAACCACGGACTTAAATATAATATAATATACAAGTCCATGACTGACGTTATTTAAACGAAATATTAAACAAGTTTATGTGCCTAAACTCCACGGTCATAAAAAATTTTTAATACACCTGAAAATACACGCCGGCTCGTTTAAATAAGTCATGAGTGCTAAAACAAAAATCAACGTTTAAAAAATAATATCCTGGCCTCGAGTGCCTGTGATACAAGTCCGTGCTTAAACACTAAACTACGATAAAATACACTGAAAATACACGCCGTTAGATTTCGTGATCTTAGTCAGATAAGGGATTTCCAGTTCCTGGAACGTTACTATAAATAACCATGGAAATCCCACACAGTCATTTCAGCACAATGTGGCAGACGTGTTTGTTTATGATCTTTACTGTGCCTACTTTTAAGGTAAGTTGATTGTGAGATGTATATATTATGTCAGTCTCTTTAAGTTAGTACAGTTAACCGATTTACATGCTTGAAAGTCAATGCTGCGTACGTACGGAGCAAAATTTACAAGCGCAAGCTGGTTACATCAGCTAAGGGTCGATCGATAATGAAACAAAGTAAAATCACAGACATGTTTACAATGTTTCTGGTAGGGGTGGGGGGGAGGGGGGGAGGGGCGGTGATATACCATAATATGTTTAATAGCATATACTTGTTAAGAGAGATTGAACGTAATAAACATTCAGATGACTCATATCAGATAAATTGTGTCGAGACACGTCACGATTCTATAAATATAATTGTTTTGCTGTACAAGATGCATACTCCGTCTATCGATTTGTGACTCCAGGTCGATATGAAAAGTCGATAGAACGTCAGAATAATTAAGACTAGTTGTTAATATATAGATGACCTAATACAGTAGAAATTATAAGAATAAGGTCTATGGTACTCTATCTTACTATTATTTGAACACATTTGATATTTGTTTTATGTTGATATCTTATTTAAAATTATTATACTGATCTTTTCTTATTCATGTAAATTTATACAATACAAATCCAAACCGTTATATTTATAAGGCCGAGTCACACCGTTCCCGGAATCTAACGGCGGCTGTGCCGAGTTGCTGGCCGTTCTGCCTTTACCTCCTTCACCTCTAAGGAATTCTTTCGATTTTCAGTCAGATTTATCAAGAGATGGAGGGATAGAGACCCTCAATACAGTATGGCTTACAGGGCGTGCATTCAAGTTTACAGCACACAGACACAAATGGTCCTAATGCATGTATAAATGTCTTTCTTGAATGATTTCAAAGTTGATCTTAATGCTACGAAATCTAGCTTTGAAATCGGAACATCTCTGTGTCATGTCTCGAGGGTCCTTCAGGCCGTCTCTTCGACACTCTCGCTGCAGTAGACGATAATGTTCCTGTCTGGAGCCATAAAGGTGTCTGATACTCAGATCACAAAGAACACATGCAAGTGCTACGCAGGTACAACGCGTTCAGTAAGCAAGGTCCATGGGAAACTCGCCAAAATCACTGCCCTCAGAAATTATCATGCGTGCAGCAAAAACTCGTGTGGCCTGCCCAGAACGGTGAGACTTGGCTTAATTTTTGCTGATGAACTTCTGGCTAGCCAAGCTGGTATATTGCAGGTAGTATTTACAAGAAAATAGTTTATTTAAAAAGATGTCAACAAAGTCGCTTTATTTTGAAATCCCAGACTTTGTACATTAAAATACATACACACATATATATTTACTCTTTTCAAGGCATCCCGTTTGGTAATACATATGTTGGATGATCTGCAGTATGTAGAATGTTTCAGTGTCGGATGTCCTGCAGGTAGCCGTAAGTATTATGATAACATGGTCTATTGTTTATGTGTTAATAATAGTCGAACAATAGACTTTTTGTACAGTGTATCATATTCACAATTTTGAATTATTGATGAATCATGCCAGACTAGATATGCTAAAATATTGATCTATGGAAATTTTCAACGTGCTTGTATTATTGTGAAGGTCGTGTTACCGGGAGATTACGTAATACATTGGTGATTAGTCTATAAATAGCCCATACGCAATAAAGTCGTTGGTTGATTAGTGGTTCAATACACCTTGTGGTACCTCTGAGTTTTTAGGGCAGAATATAATAGACAGTATTTCAAACTAATGCCAGAACGTTTTTAAAACAACTCTTCAGAGTTTATAATAATCAATATTTGTACACTCTGAAAGCAGTAACATATTTTTAGTGTGATTTTTTCCCTATGATTATGGTAGACATTTATCAATATTTTGTTATGTTGGTATTAAATGACAATGGTTGTCTATATGTTTTTGGGCATGGATTCAAAATGACTATCATTATGACTAAGATTTATCTTATGACTGAAGTATATCATATCATATTCAAGTGTATAAATTTCGAGACTGTCATATAATTAAAGCTTTGTGTCGATAAGAGACGAAATCCATACATCTATTAATGTAAAGGATGTTAAACTACAGTTATCTGAAGCAGAGGATGTCATTCGATAACACGTGTACATATTTCCATGTAAAGTGTACTGAACGTGTGTCAGCAATCGTGACGTAAATAACAGAATTATGCCGATATCCAGGACTAATTGATCAAGAATATTAGTCACAGCGATAATTTAACAGTAAGCGGATATAATCTAAAATAACTAGGATTTTGAGAGCTGAATTTCCTGAACACTTAAAAACCGCAAAAAAAGCAAGCAAAAGGGACAAAAAACAAAACAAAAAAACCCGAATGTCTCAATGTTACGATAGAATTAGTATACGCTGGTCCAGATTTTGATATTTACGTGTATCTAAAATTTCCAAGAGTACAAGAACGAATTTTTGTTAATTAAAAATGTGTGAAATTCCTTGATTTACTTATAGATCTATTTATAGACCAAATGTTTCAGATGTATTCACCTATGAATCTGCTCCAAAAAAAGTGACACGGGCAATACTGAAGTTATAATTTATTGAATATCATCAAAGTTGAAATAGTACAATGTTCGGATTTGTTTGTTAAGAATTCATCTTTCTCAGAAAACTTAAGGTCACGTTCTTAGTATTATCTTCGGAATTACGGGCGATTAACCTGATACCCCAAAGAAATCTATATTGTCGTCTGTATTACAGATGAGTCGGAGAGGGAGAGCATTACAGAGCTATAATTTGCTGTTCGGCACATATCATATCCATTTCGTTTAGAAATCTAACTTGTATGTCTTATTGTAAACTTTGTAGAATTGTCGTTCTGCAAGAAGAACAAAACATCCGACTACTGTCATGACTGCCCCGGAGGAAGCACACAGCCTTTACCCGTGAACTCGAAAACAGTCCGAACCAGAGAGGAAATCCCGAAATGCGTACGGGCAAATATTGACTGCCCTCCAGGTATAAACTTAAGAAAATTCGTCTACAATTACCATTCTCATTTTATTCATTTGTCTTGGGAAACATAATTTATATATACTGTATAGAGATTTTTTTAATTATCATTTTTAGATAAATAATTCTAAGTATCTCGCCAGCGTTATTTAATACATTTAGTCAATAAATATCTTCCAAATATATGATCCATTATATTTCCATAGTACGATCTCTTCATCATTGTCTGAAGTAGAACTATGAATGCTTAATTATTGAAATCTAATTCAGGTATACACTCACGAATTGCGTGTAAAACCATGCAATATTCTAACATTGTGTTCATGATGCGATATCTTGTGTTTTTTGTTCTAATCATTGTATGTAATCCATATTGTGACAAGAGATATAAAATATAAAACACAAAATATTGAGCGTAAACCGAGAGATATTTGAAGATTGCAACGCATCTATGTATATTAGCAATCTTTTGTGACAAGAAATATCGAATATAAAACACAAAATATTGAACATAAATAAAAAAATATTTGAATATTGCAAAGCTTTACGCTAAGCACCCACACTTTGTATAATTTACATAATGGAAATTCAAATTCACGAAAAAAAAATCTGTTTGACAACTTCATTGAAATTCAAGACGAAAACTTAAAATATCATACACTGTAGTTATTTGAAAACGTTTTTGAGTAATTTACCATAATTTACCAAACAAAAAGTTTTTGTTTGTTTAGAAGCTGTACCAGCTCTCGAAGATGGAATCGATTGTAGGTGTGACGCGTCCCGAGGGTATATAGGTAGTGACTACATGCTTTGTTTGAAATATACCAAGTGTCCTCCTGGAACTGCGTTTGAAACAGAAAGTAAGTCCTCTTTTTTTGTTTGTTAATATTATCTTTTTTTTTTTTTTTTTTCAAAAACAGAATTTATAACGTGATGTCAATTGAGATTACAAGTCAACCACTTTGAACAGGAAAGAGATCATAACCTTATCGTTGAGGTCAAGGTTATGTCATTTTCACAGTCAATACTAACAACTAGAAGTTATATTTACGGTAATCAGCGATTTTCTGTTAAAACAGCTTCTAATCTTACACTAGAAGTGCTTTCTTGGTGACAATAGTTTACCGACGTTTTCACAACTCATTTTGACGATTTTTAAAGATGGCACCCTGAAACCGAAATCTATTCTTCCATCCACCCACCCAACTCCACCCAATTCCATTCGCCTGTCCGTCTCTCCTTCCGACCGAAGTTTTGTCTCTAATCTATGAGACAAATACAATGCAAATTTTATTTCTTTTCAGATGGGGCTTGCAGGATTTGTCCTGTTGGAACGTTTAATCCTGAAAGCGGTTACGGGCCCTGTATCTCTCACACTGAGTAATTATTATTTAATGCTTAAATACGGCTCTGTTGATCACTATATGTAATGTTTACAGCATATTCAGATTCCTCACTTTCAAAAGCAGTGATGATATTACATGTAGCTAATAATTCAACATGTCCACTGATTGTACGTGCATTTACGTTTAATAGTCTCCCTAGTTTTTAACATTCGTGTCCATTGCATCACTTACGAGTCTCAGGACACAACATCTGTAAGATGCAACTTATTTCATTGTTCGGTATGGTGCTCTTCACTTGTTTGTCAATCCTCGATACCGCAGGGGTTTCGATCACTTTCGCTCTCTGAACCCCTGGAACTTGATTTGTTCTAAGAGAAAACAAACGGAGCAATCAGAGACTGATACAATTACAAAGACCACAAAGGCACGACACCCAACTTCAAAGCCATTACAATATACTGCTATGCGAACTCAATTCGTTTGATTTTCAGCAATGGATCAACCTAGTCTTTTTCTCTTGTCCACAAGGTGTCTTACATGGAATCTTCAATTTTGCCATGACATGTGCCATGCGTGCAGAGAGCAAAAGTGATCGTGATCCGGAGTATCGAGAATATTGTTTGTCTTTTGTGTAATTCTTTTAGTCGGTGTAAATTCTCTAAAGAGGTTAAAATGTTTTTATGTTGAAAGGAACATTTAAACAATTTCGATTATCGGGTTAATGGCCGAATATTCTCATATATAGATTTTTACAAACTGCAATATCTAATTGCAGACTTGCTGTTGCAAAGCAGTGTGTATAAAGGGTCAGATTGCTTTCAGCTGTGCTGTTTCCGAGGGCATCCAGTTTTCGCTATTTCCGAAGATGGAATAAATTCGCAGAAAATAGACATCTTGAAAAATGACGTTAATAGAGAAAGGGATACTGAAAAAATATTCATTTTCGCGGATTTTTTAAAAATTTTTGTTGTGGGTGTTCTTAATCTACAAATTTTTATGTTAGTCAAAAGTGTTAAATTAGTGAAAGCAAACTTATTGAGATTCATTCAGTTACGAAATGAAGTCAACTAAAACGGCGATTTTTTTTCCCCAAAAATCATGAAAATTGCTCACTACGAAAACACACGATTTTACAGTATTCCATTCCATGACCTTATTCTGTAACGTACATACCTTTAGCATCAAGTGTTCAGTAAAACTTTGTCATCTAAAAATATATCTTTACAGTAATCATTGGTGCATTTGATCGTTTCAGATTTCTGATGCAAAACAGATATTGTCATAAACATAGGATTGACATATTTTATTTATAGCTGTGCACTAAACAACAGGGAAACTGTTCTGTTTGGAAATACAACAGTGGATAATGTATGTGGAGAGCTGATAGAATTACAAGTCGTTAATGTGACAACGGCGAACACTCTGCTAAAGGGTAAGAAGGAGAACCGAGAGAATTTAAGACAAACACCCACCGAGGAATTGAAACAAATACCAGGTACTTTTATAGATTCTAATGAAAAAAAGGAAAAGACCGTGTACTGTAAATCGCATTAATTCTTGAATACTTTATTTTGCGATTTTACCTTTTCACACATGTTCACGAATACATGATTTAGCGAATGATGAGATATTAAAGGCCCGGACTCTGTAAAAAAACGAAATCAAAATGGATGCCACCCAGAGGTATCGATCTACAAATAATCGCGAGGGATTTTAATTAGCGATTAATTGTTGCCGCATATTTACACGAAAATAACTCCAACAAGAAATATAATAATGACATAAAAATGCTTTAGGTTACCGTCTAGAAAAAAATAGTCTAATTTTCTCTCTTTTTTTTCTTCTGAATTTTGAAGTACCCACTATATCTTTTTTCTCTCCGTTAGTATAGTAGCTAAAACGGCAGCGGTTTGATTCAGTGGTTTTGCCTGCTGTTTTTTGAAAAAGAAACCCAGCTGAACAATTCTATTACACTTCAACATCAACGAACCCTTTATATGCATATTGTATGCGGGAACATTCGTACAGGAAGTTTTCCACCCTCGCAGAAAGCTATTAATATTGGCTGTGGATTATTTGCGCTCTACAATATGTGTAAAGGAATTATGTTTCACATACATTTTGCCTAATTGACAAACGAACAGTGTTTACTTCTAATGTCGACATCGGAATTGTTTATTTACCTAACATGAAACATTTCGTCCGTCTCTCTCTCTCTCTCTCTCTCTCTCTATATATATATATATATATATAATAAGGTACAATTTCTATTGTGAAAGGGATTCGTATAAGTTTGCCCAATCTTATTGTATATATTGATACTGATAAGACATGTTTAAATAAAAAGGTTGATGGAGCTAAATTTGACCTTAGATGAATATTTCCCAGCATGAAAAATGTGAGATAGTTAAAGCGAATGAGAAATGATAGGACTCATAATAAATGGTTATTTTATTATAGATGCATCATTGAAACATCCGCCGGACAGAGCACTGGTTGTTACTGAGCGACACACGGGGTAATTTGTATTTCATCAAATGATTTCTTTGGATAATGATTCAAAATAACCCATCATTTAAGATAGATATGAAGGCTTTTTTGAAATACGAAATAATCTGATTCACATGCAAACATTTCAGGGAGATATCACCCGTTCCCAGAATCCCTAAAATATTAGATATTTTTACATATTAAAACTGACAAGTATGATTCAAAAGCTATATCTACTACATTCTGAACTCTTAAGTCATTTCCGTTTGACGAGTGACATAGTTAGTCAATGAGAAAAAACTTTCATTAAAAAATAATTGATCTCCGGAAAAAATCTTTAGTGAAGTTTTTGTAATTTTTTTTCTGGTGTCATAATACAAGTCATTTTCGAGTAAAAGATCAGATATCCAATAATGGCTATAGTTCCTTGGTGTTGACATGTTTTTCTGGTTGTTTTTGTGACACTGGGCATGGCGTCCGCTTGTGGACAGTTTTGTCCCCCGAGAACAGTCGATAAATCTTGGATAAATCTTGCTCACGACATCCACCATCAATATGATCCATACCAATTTTATCTATATATTAGTCATTGGATATTTAAATTCATGGATTAAGAATAACCAATTATTAATTACTGTCTAGTATCTGTGAACAAATGGACTCTAATACCGGGACTGGACAAAAACTTCGATACATCGAGAAATTCGAATCATCAAAGTTCGACATATAGAAGTTTGACCGTATATCCGTGAGGTAGAAACAGTGTTGTCTGACTGAAGTTTAACCGTCAGACAAGGATGTTACAACCTATACAACGATACAGCTGATGTAACTAGTTAATATCGAGTAGAGAAAATTAAGTAAAGTAGAAAACTTTACAACTTTTATTAATCAATTCTACAGTTCAGTTCCTATGATCTTTTATATTTTATGAGAGCTCTTTTTGTTTAAGGTATTCAGCATGTTTTAGGAGTGATATAACCGTCGTTTTTTTCTGTTTCTTTTGTCAGTATCCCGATGCTCGTTACTCTGGTCATGGGCGTGAACATTCTGTTGTTAACTATACTCCTAAGTGTAGTTATTTACAAATGGCGAAAAGGAATAAACATTAATGGTAAACCGAGTAAGTTATAACTATATGTATGAATTTGAAATTTCATGAAATAATTTTAAACGTTCGATTCTACTGTATAATTGGTAATATTTGTGGGTTTATAATTTTGCTATATTCTCGGTCATTGAAGAAATTTAATACCTAGAAAATAGTCGACAGCGTATCTAAATCTAGGAAATGTATATCATATATTTTTATGCTTGGATATCAATTGATGGATACGCACGAAATTGAATCCCCGTAAATTAGCCGAAACCGCGAAATATCGACCCCGCGAAATCAAATATCTGTGCCGCATATAGTGATATAGTACAATACGAAAACTTGATTTGTGTTATGTTGTTGATTTATTTTTCATACTTTAAGATAATTTTTGTTTTTACTAATTCTTCATTTCTATTGTATGCTTAGGCATGCCGGCGAATGTCGATCGGACACAGACTGGTGGTAACGATAAACCAGGTAAGACAAATTAATTTTTCCAGAACTCTGATTACCAAAGTGAATGTAAATGTGAATGAAAAGTACTATTGAACACTAATGAAATACTATTCTGATTTTGGAACGTGACATTGCTAACTTGGATTGACTTAGATTTTCATGGTGGGTGTCGTTGACGAAGCATAATACGCTTACTCATTTGGAACATATTGTTTTATTATTTCCTTTTTTAAGATTCTCCGTGTATATCTTTCTTATGTTCATAGTTTGCATTTGAATTAAGATTCTGTTGATATGTCAATGTTTTCTCTGTCTCTTAAAGCGGCCTCAGATTTCAACATCGGGAAATGGAGAATTCGGCTGATAAATAATAAAATATATCCATAATAAAGCGATACACGCGCCTATAACGTCAATTTTTTTGTTTTTGTACATATTTTCGGCGTCGGAACATTGTTTATCTTGACTATTGTTTATAAACATGTCCACGTTCGGTTTATTACGAAGAAAGCCGAGTGGGTCACATGGCTGGTCACGTGACGTGACCTCCGCTGCAAAGAAAAAAATGGATTACGAGGAAAGTGTAAACAAACGTACATGTCTTATGCATGACACTTGCTTTTGCGCCTTTCCGCAAATTCTTGTTTGCAGTAAATGCTTCTATAGAGTTATACTATATAATCTTAAACAATCAATCTTAGTAATTCGTTTTGTTTTGGCTTGTCGTACGAGAATAATGTCTATGTCAATCGCGGGCGCTTAAATATTGGGGCCCCAAAGGGGGTAATTACAATAGGAAAAGAAAAAACTCATTGTGCAGAAATGTACATGAATTGAGACTTTGTCTGTACACATTAATATATATTGTTTACCTCTCAACATGTGTCTATGTGTTTATTATGAATTTTATGTTTATCATCAAAGTCGTTATTCTTACAGTAACACCACGCTGTCTGGCACTTTCTGTAAGGTAACTTTTAGGTCCTCGTCGCCTTTTCGTACTTGCGTCCGTCATATTGCCTAATTCTATGCGGTAATATATTAATTAGATCAAGACCGCACTTGCAGCCAGATGTCTTATAGGGAAATGGTGTTCCATCAAATTAAAGGATGGAGCAGAAACAAAATCAATTATTGGTTTCATTCAAGTCGTAAAGGTACCGTTGACCTAATAGTTATTATCAGACCTAATGTGTATCTTTAGTTAAGAAGATTTATGCTGATATGGCAAGACATTGAACACTATAAATAGGTGAAGTAGGATTAGCTTACAAACTGACCAGGACGATCTCATCACATTGAATTACGCAATATATACAATTGTAGGTGTATCTATTTCTATATACGTTTTGTCTATGAACTTAATCCTATATAATGTTAGTATGTATTGATTTACGGATTATGTTGGTCAGCAATAATTTAGCTAACATAAGCGTAAATTCATTGCTCACGAATCACAGGTTAAGTGGGGTTTGATCAACGGTCATTTTGGCAGTGGGGATAAATAGACGACAGATATTGAGGTTTGTTAGAGAAGGCCGGGGAGCGCTGGAGAAAGGAACACCATCTCTCACAAACTATGACTTTGCTTGTACCTAATAAAACTACATGAAAGAAGAAACAACGCCTTTGCGCTTATACTCAATCGGGTCACACACTGTTTACATTCTTTATGTTTGAGATATAAAAATGTTTGCAGTGACTTTTAATTTTAGTATTTAACAGAAAGTTTTAGTTTTGTAACATTCTATCGGAAAATAGAACGTTTTATATTGTTTTCTCGTAGTGATTTTTAACATTATAGTCGCTTTAAATACATTATACCAATACTAACTGGTGCTAGTAGCTGTTGCCTTACTGTGAAATGACAGATGATAACAATTGTTATTGCAATTAGCACAAATGTCGTTTACCGATGACTTAATGGTAATGACTAAATTGTACCCATTTATCTATCTTAGGCAGTGAGGCATGAACATATATATTACAGCCGGATAATTACACGCATTAGCAGAGCACACGTGTAAACACAGGATGTACAGGCATATACACATTTTAAAAACTGATTACGTCAGTCTTTATCTGAACAAACAGCTGTGTGATTTTGTTGAAACATTATCCGGTTCTACTGTAATTCTAAATTTGTACTGAAAGTTGCTATTCACTTATGTTAAAAAGGACATTGTTTTTGGGGAAGGTAAGATGTCAACAAGTGCTAATTGTGTTTGTTAGTTAGGTCAAGGTTTATACATAAATACTTGATATATTAAAACAGAATAAAATAATAAATATATGTACTACTATTTTACGTTATCGTAGACCCAGACATTGTTGTCATGAAGATAGCATTTCTATGATATTGTAACATCGTTTATAGGAGTCCAGGTAGAAGAAGATTGCGGACCAGAATATGCGTTGAAAGCCACAGATGATACTGGCAGTTCTACAGAAGGTATCTAATTGTTTACAGAAAGCTGATGATTTCTTTTAATAAAATTATTTATCTTTTTCTGATTTAATACGATGACGTAATTAACCGTTCACTGAAATTAAGTGTTTTGATACTTTCTAATGTGTTTTGTTACATCACGATATCCAGCTGTTTTCTGGATTTCAGATCAAAGTTTAATGAGCATGACCGGAGAAGAACCAGGTAATTTATGAATAATGAAGTTGTTTAATAAAATAATAATTGAGATTTAACTTTGAATCACTTTACAGAATAAACTTGATACCAACAAAATAAATCTACCAATTTAGAACAGTAAACTGAAGCGAAATTGATAAATGTTACATTCGAATCAAAGTCTGTAGTTGGACATATTACCTGCTCATGAAATAGCATTTGGCATTCCGTTAACTAAACAGCAGTATTAACGCACTCGCCTTTCACCTAGCCGTCCGAGGTTCGATTCTCGGTATAGATTTGAAAAAGTATGGGGTCAGCTGCCCGACTACGTGAGTTTTCCCCGGATGCTCCGGTTTCCTCCCACAGTAAGACTCCTCACGTGCTTCCATCCGGGCCGACAAGAGTGATTAATATAAGTTAGAAAAACAATTGTTTATTATTTAACGTTTATTATAACTAAACAGCACGATACATGAGCGGAATTATTCCAGATATGGGCTTATTGGCAGATAAATCCGATATATATTAAACAAATGGTATGTCACGGAATAATGATAATAAAACGCATTTTATTACATCACATTCTGTTTATTTTACATTAAAAGCAATAAAGAACAATTTTGCCGTGTCCAATTTTTCTTATATGCATTAATGGTAATGTCTATTTCGGATTAAGCAGTCATGCAACCAGAGAGCACACATCATTTAACTACATGTAAAATCTATTTTGGATTGCTGCCAATCTTACTTTGAGATGTGACGTACGTAACAGTTTACCATGTATTTGTTGTAGGGACACTGACCATCTACCCACAGATTAACGCTGTCCCCTGTGTTCCTACAGCTCCCTCTATGACGCCATCGATGATGATATAGGCGAAAATACTTCATTCTGGCAAATATTATGAAATCGATTTCAGTATCAATGTAAAAATATCTGTGATGAATTATATAAAGGGAAAGTAAAGTAATAGTTTCAAGACACGAATGAAGGTTATTCCCTATTGCGAGTGAAAGACAAAAGCAGACTCATAGTCCAAGTAGAAAAAGACCAGTTGTTTCGGAAGAGTATGCGTTTTCTGACGATCGCCATTTAAACCTTGGTCAGTCCAAATAAGTAATGCTTTGTTCCGGATAATCAACGGGGAATTTTTATTTTGAGTTTTTTTAGATCCTTAAAAGGAAAGAAAATATGTCGGGAAGTGCAGAAATCCTTAACGTCATTTTGACCCCACACTGTACGACGTTGCGTTCAACATGTCGCCAGTCCAATGTTGAATGGGCTGTCGATATAGTATCATGATGATTTGTACTGGCAGGATTGCCTTCCAAAGTACAACAAACAGGAATTTAAGTATAACCTGTTGTGTATGCACTGGAAGTACATGCAATCAAACGCTCAATGGAATAATTTCTGATTCAATGCTTTCTCTTCCATCACAGCGGAATTGAAAACTAATTGACTGATAATTTTTTTTATCATCAGTGCAGTGGTAATTTATCAAATTAATTCTTTGATTAAAATGGCAAAAATATACAAGGGCATGGATACTTAATGAACTATGAAACCTTGTTTTATACATGTAGTTTTTAATTATTAGAATTATTTCATTATCAACTCTCTAGCAAGGACTATTGTGACTTGTGATTACAAAGAGAAATGATTGTTTATTGATAGAAATTGGTATAAATAGTGCATCAGTAAGTGACTCTAGTGATTGCAAAAAAATTTTGAACCTCGTGACATTCTCAAAGAAGATGGGTAATTGATTCTCTTTCGGAATTACAATAATGTATATAGATTACATAATGGACTTGTGACTAACTTTGCCTTGAAAAGTCTAGAATTAGTAGTTAAAATATGATGGGGAATTCTGTACTTGAGCCACTGTAGTGTAGCATTTTTCGTCACCTGAAATGGCATTTTATAGAAAGTTTCCCAGTCATTGTTAATTAGTTCAAACTGTTTTCCCCATTTTACCTCACCTACTGGCTCTCTACGCCTGTGTTTAGAATATTATAAGAAATATTTTGATCCTTTTAAATGTCTTATAAAAATATGGATATAAAATGGAATTATGGAAGTATTTTCTATAGGTAGTTTATCTGACAAAACCTTTTTGACTGTAGATATGATCCCTTGATATTTTACATATGGTTACATTGTATGCCTGCAAAAACTCTTAGAAACTGAGAAAATATACAGTCATCTTGCCATTTACATACTCACCCCCAACATTTATTTGGACATCAATCAATTCTTTAATATTGAGGACCACTTACCTGGTGTATGATGTAGTCTTCTAGCCGGACTCAGTTTCAATGCATCTTCAAAAGCCCTTATATTGACCATTTTTAATCTACCATTTATATAGTCTTGCACAACAGTATTTCTCTTAATTTTGTCTACTTTACTATTCCACAAGAATTCAAATATAATGGACTCAATTCTCTTTAAAGTCTTTTCATCTGGGTTTGGTAAAGCAATGAAGAAGAGATTGAGCTGTGAAGTCAAAAGGGATTTGATTGTGTGTATTTGTCCTATTGGTGTAAGATTTCTTCTTTTCCAAGTATTCATAAGTGCTTTTAATTTTACTATTTTCTTGTCATAATTAATTTTTAGCATAACATGAAGATTGACGTCAAATTCTATCCCAAAAAGACTGAACCTTTCCTTTCCCCTCAGCAGATTCAGTTCTGGCATAAATGTTTCACTGCTATATTTCTTAGCCCCTATCCATATGACCTGAGTCTTATCAATGTTTACTTTAAGTCCAGAGATGCCTGCATAAGTATTTAGTTCTTTCAAAGATTCAAATAACGACTGTTCACGCCCATCTAACATGAAAAAAGTGTCATCGGCATATTGAGACAAAAGGATAGGAAACAAATCTACTTTAATACCATTGATCTTATTGTTATTTCGTACTATATCAGCTTTGTGTTGGAGATTAATATTTGGGCAGTCTTGAATCAAGAAGTGAAATTTTCATAGTGTTTCCACATAATCTTGTTGTGAAAGCTTTCTGAGTTGGAATTTGCTGAAATGTAAGTAGTTTGTTACCATGACAGTGTTGCTGATTTAAAGACAGGTGTTCAGAAATAAATTTCTTCTATAATGTAATGTTTAGAATAAGCAGTAATTTTGCATTTGTAGCATTTTGTCAGTTGGTAACCATGGCAATCACATGTCAGAAATCGGAGGATTTTTTTATTTACACAAATTTTATCTCTCTGCTATTAATATAATTGTTATGTAGTTTATAAATATATATATATATACATGTAAGGATGTATTTTTCATAACCAAACCGCTATACCTGTTTATCCATGACATGACCAATAATTTCAGAAAAAATGCAAATTAACTGTTTCCTGCTACCTTTGGATAATGATTATGTTTACATGTTGGTATTTTCGTATTATTTGTAAACATTACAACTACTTTTTACCTAAGTCTAGTCATATGGAGCATTTAGCTTATGCTATAAAACATGGTTTTTTTGTCTAAATTTGTGAACAATACTAAATTTGTGTTTATAAATATATATATATATACATGTAAGGATGTATTTTTCATAACCAAACCGCTATACCTGTTTATCCATGACATGACCAATAATTTCAGAAAAAATGCAAATTAACTGTTTCCCCCTTTTAATGGCAAGGGATAAAATTAGTCATATGTTATATATCAGTCATATACAAGAAAATTATATTTTGAGATAAGTATGTTTATTGTCTGTACCAATTGGGACAATGGTTAATGCTATTTATATTTTGCATTTAGTTAATTAGTTAACTTTATCTGAATATGTTAACAAGGTGATTTTTGTAACATTTGTTACAATGACACACTAATTTTGATGGCACTTTTATAGCTGAGTTCGAATGGAAGTTCGATACTTTGAAGTGAGATGATATAAGTTTCTGTAAACATGCAGCATTATGTTTTTCCAAACCTTTTGAAGTGCAATATTTTTTAATGCATTTATATGATAATGTGTTCGTCGCTTTCTATTTAGTAAATACAAGAATACAACCAATACAAGAATTTGTTATTTATTATTTAGTCGTTAATGTGCTCGACCTTGAATCTCTTCCTGCTGATTAACATTTTGTCAAAATAATCCTGTACTGAATTTGGATAGTCAAATAGGGTGGGACACTTAGATCATTTCAGGCAGAACTGAAATAGAAGGTATATATTTCACGCTGCACTACATCAAGTTCTGTTTTGTCATTTCTTTTCGAACTTTGTATTTCGTTTACAACTTTGATTTCGGAGATTTGTAAGAACCAAAGTAAAGTTTCCTGAATTTCGTAAATCTCGTCAGAGATAAAAATAAATTTATTATTCTTATAATCATTACATGTTTCTGCAAAATATACACATTTTGTTCCTTCTCGTAATGATTCGCCGTTGAAAACAGTGTAAACATATACAAAAATCTGCAACTATATGATTTTGCAACCATTTAATGACGTCACAAGCCATGCGGTTATTGGAATCAATATGGCATGAGTGTATACACAACTTAAAAATACAAGGTCACTTCAACGTTTGAGCTACAATTCCAGGACAGCAATATCTTATATCTAGGTAATTTGAATTTATATATATCAAGAAAATGTCTGACCATCATAAATACGTTGATTGTATTGTACAGATCAGATAGCAATATGCCATAACAACGATTTAATGTGTCCGTCACAAATAACAATGCAAACGTTTTACATCAGAAGATCACAATTTCCGGTAGGAGCTCATGTTTCTGCAGGGGAAGAAATTGTTTAGTTTGTGAAATTAAAAAGGGAGAGGGCCGAATGGAAAAGCGAAAAGAAAGAATGATTGTGATAATTAACTAATCTTTATGAATCTAATTAAAATAAAACCGAGAAGTCAGCCATCATTATTTTGGGCTTTCTTGCTAAATGTCAGCTGATAGTTTGCATACTTTTTACCACTCCTTATCAACGATGTCATCTTAGGCTACCAGAGACGAAGCCTCATGTTTCCTTATTACTATAACTCCTCTCGCTTTGTCGATCGCTGATTTATAAAAAAAATGTAAAAAGATATTACGATCGAAATATAATAGTACAACACCATATCGGTACCGTTGCCGTTCTTACCAATGTGATTCCGTTGCACTGCCGCACTTACACTGATTCGCGAAAATCGGCAAATTTGTGCTTCGCTATAGCTGCTGCGAGCCCAATAGGTTTGATAGCGATTAATATGAGTATAACTTTACACTGGTATATCATACATTTGTATGTAATTGAAATCTACAAATTATGTCAATACAGAAACATGGTATGTTATTTTACAAAATCATATCTGAAAGAGGACCACACAAAGTTCCTAACAGTATGAATACATGCAAAATGTCTATGGAAACTTGAATATTTTGGATATTGCAGACATAGTGCTACATACATGTATAAGGATTTCCCCTCGCGTTTCCTGTAATCAGTTTTAAGGGCCAGATTAAGAAATGTGGTTTAAGTACTATCGACTTTTGGTATATATTGCAAAGAATATTTCCAAGCAATAAAGTAATACAACAAAGCTACACACAATATGCCTTCTTAAAGACCCTAACACTTGTGTCGCCTGTAGAGCTGGCGGACACTTAGGGATCACTTTGTCCGTCGTCACGCGTCGTCGTCAGTACGAAAATTTTCCGTACTTTTTTTCGGTAATGCTTTGAGTTATCAAACTGAAAGTTGGCATATGGCTTTTTGTTGCAAGGGTACAGATTAATTTTGATTCCCGGCTGTCTGTGACCCTTTTAGGCAGAGTTATGCCCCTTTCAACTTAGAAAATTTCCTGGGAATATTGTTTTCCGGAATTTTTTGGCTTATACTTTGAGTTATCGAAATGAAATTTGGTATATGGCTTCTTGTTGCAAGGGTACAGATCAAGTTTGATACCTGGCTGTATGTGACCCTTCTTGGCTGAGTAAGAAAATTCTCAGGAATATTGCTTTGCGCAGTTTCCCCTTTATGCTTAAGTTATAGAAATGAAATTTGGTATAACAACTTTATGGTTGATCGTTGCACATCCAGTTTAATTTCTGGGTGACCGTGACACTTTATGCAGGCGACACATACAGTTCCGAGGAACTCTTGTTTATAACTTATTACATTGTGAACTAGAATACTGAAATACGCCAGCAACAAAATAATATGCCAGTTAAATATAGACAAATATGTCAAATTTAACATTCACCTTTGATCCGATGACCATAACCTATCGTTGGTCTACGTCTCATTTGATTTCAGTCAATAAGACTTTCTTATGTCACTAATAAAAATATTTCAAATTTGACCTTTGACCTGATGACCATAGCCAGTGATTGGATTACTTCAAATTCAATTTCAGTCATTAACACTGCATTATGTCGCAAGTAAATATTTACCAGTAATAATTAGATGATAATTTTACTGTATATTTCCATTATTATTCATACATGATATATTTATAGCAACATTCACCTTTGCCCTCTGGAATTAAAAGCAATTGGAAGTTAGCACATTCTGTGAAAAAGCACATGGGATTGTCAGAGTTTAACCATTCAAACTGAATATGTTCAGTAGGACCCGAAAAGTACTCCCACGTAGCCACTGGACAAAGTTTGAGAGCAATTGGTCTGACAGAATTTGGGATGTTGTGTCGAAAAAACCCGGATGACGCACAGCCATACAACATGAACATTATTGGGCAATTGCATAATCGATACGAGTCCCCAACTATAGGAATTCATCACTGCAGAAATAATGTAAGAAGTAGTATAAGTTATATAATCTATCATGATAAATGATCAAGTACTCAGTACTTGTTTACCCGAGAAATATTATTCTTCGAAAATGTAACGTACAGTTGTAAATCCACAACACAAATTGCTACAGAGCTATTCTGGAAATGTATTTACAACTGTTAAAAAAGTACACCACGACTCATACCCTACATATTTACTCGAGTAAAATAAGTAAAATATCACATTCAAGGAAATGTACAAACAATTTAAAATAAGTACATCACGTCACATATTTCTACATATTTATTCGGGTAAAATGTCACATTACGGGAAGTTATTTACAAAATTGCGAATAAGTACAACCCATATTCCTATCTTTTCAATTTAGAAACAAGAGGCCCATGGGCCTTAACGGTCATCTGACATTAGATACAAGATATTTGACCCCTGTGACCTTTAAAGTGGGTCAAGGTCATTCATTTGAACAAACGTGGTAGAGCTCCATGCCAGTATGCTCTGTGCCAAGTATTAGCCCCCTAGACCTTCTAGTATTTGAGAAGAAGTTGTTTGAATGAAAAGTTTACGCACGGCGGACGGCGCACGGCGGACGACGACGGACGAAGCACGATGGCTATAGGTCATCTTGACCCTTTGGGTCAGATGACCTAAAAATATCGTTATCCAGAAAATGTCCATACATTTGAAGATAAGTGTATCGACACATATATTCCTTTATATCTATTTTTGAAAATGTCATATTCCATGAAATATATTTACAATGTAAGTAAGGACACCATAATACACACAGCTATCTCTTTACTCTACATATTCCAGAAGATGTATTTAGAATTATAGATAAATACACCAAGACACATATTCTTACCTATTTACGCTGAAAAATAATGTCCAGAGAAATGTTGTTAACAGATGTAAATAAGAAGATTATACACAACTTTCATTACACGTATAAAATTATAAACAATAGAGCAAGATAATAAATGTATATGTATCACACAGCTGTTTCGTCCTAGCAAGACTCGTCCATGTTGCTAGGGGCCTAAACTGTTGAAACCAACGATGCGGACGAGAACAATCCATATTGTCAGAATTCAAAAAAAAAAATCGATAATGATCTATTAATGTCTTTCCAAATTTCTATCAACGTTTGATTTCTGTTTCATTATAACCTGGTTGTATATGAAAACAATACTGAATACATTAACCGTTAGTGAAAACCAAAACATATTCAAGTGAAAATATCTTTTAATACAACTTTAGAATAGTATATAGTAGTGCCAAATTTTTCTTTCAGATTATTTCATTGACCTGATTTTACCAACAAATGGATTGTACAATAGGTATAGTCTATAAAAGCCCTCTCCTTGCTATTATAAACAAATATAAACATCAGTCAAATAACGAACGGATACAATGATAAATACTAACTACTAAACATTTCAGTGGTAATAGTATGACTCAATGACTGGGACAAGATAAGTCCGAAAGTCAATTTGCATTGAATGCTGCAAAGTCAAATTTTCCATACATATGCATCCTCCTTTGTTGACTCCATACAGATAATGAGCAGACAAAAACCTGACACAACAATGTAGTTGCAAATATTGAATAAAACTGCATCATTCAGCCGGTTCGTCCTTCTAGGACTCTGAGACTAAATTGTAAACCTATAGATACTCAAATCGCCTTGATACAGGTTTGTTGATTAAATG